TGAAATATATTTATGTTTGTGGTTGTAATGTGACAAAATATGGAAAAGTTCAAGGGGTATGAATACTTTTGCAAACCACTGTATGTATGCTTTATAAGCAATGCACTCTATCCCAGACTATTTTCCTGTGTAACAGAAAAGGAAAAAATTCACGTAGTTCAACAGATTTGTGAAGGCAAAGAATTGTGAAATRAACTTCAGTCCATATACCCAGTCTTTTAAATTTGACACTTGAAGTATTTTTGTGAAAGTTGTCAGTGTGCCTTATTGATGCTAAAAATATTACTGTATTTTTAGCATCAATTTTTTTCAAAAGACAAAACTATGCAGCATTTGCATGCACCTAAGCTGAGTCTATTTGTGCTTCAATCTTTTCATACAGGAACACTGAGAATGTTCTTAACGAACTGGAGAAGGCAATTGACAACCATGATGGGAGTCCTGCATCTTATATAAGTGTGTRCAGATCTCAGATCTGGATGGGTGCCAGATTGGCTCTTAGCCGGAAATCATTTCAACCTCATTGTCGTATCAATGTTAAGTTCATGGATGATGTTGGAATAGCAGAAGGAGCAGTTGATACAGGGGGACCAAAGCGGGAGTTCTTTGCTCTCGTTTTGGATTATCTGCATGACAGTGGGCTGTTTGTGGGGCCAGAGGGCAGCAAATTCTTAACTTACTCCAGTTCAGGTAAGATGCATACACAGTAATGATGTTTTGACATGAATACTGTAAATCTAGGGTGTATCACATGCAATTTTTAATAACTGAACCATCATTCTGTACAAAAAACAGTTCAGAACTACAATTTTAACGTAGCATGAAAAATGCATAGYATTGATGAAATGTATAAATTGCTAGTAATTTATGAATGATTTACATTTGTTCAAAGTATATTTCACACAAGAAAACCTTTTTTTTTTATAAATCTTTAACTGTCTTATCCCCCTCCCCTTTGTGTTTAATTTGTAGCAATGGAAAAAGATGACTTCTTCTACGCCGGAATGATCATAGCAATGTCTCTTGTGCATGGAGGGCCTGCACCCCGGTTCTTGTCTAGAACTCTATTCCAGGCACTCATAGAATCACCAGAGATGACAACAGTGACCACTGACGAAGTTCCAGATTTGAAATTAAGAGAAAATCTCCAGAAGGTTAGTACAATACATATGTGTGTTTATGACATACGTACTGCGTATTACAATATGTCACAATATTTATTTAATAGGTTTTGTCTGGTGAAGTTCCTGAGGACCTTGAAGACATCATCGACATGGCAGGTTCACGATGCAATGC